CGAGGCAGTGGAAACAACGCTTATAATATGAAGATCGCTTCAATTTCCAGTCCCAAGTAGTGCTGATCGTATGAAAATTTCATTCCCCTCTGGTATTTACTCTTCTACTCCGTATTCCCAACGCGGTAAAGTATTATCAGGTCGGATTTACTCAATGGAATCTTTAATACTTGAAAAATGTCATTGCGTTTTATTGTCAACAACAACAACAACATTTTCTGGACGTAATTTTTGCTTTATAGCAAGCAGGCGATTGATAGTACTTCTGCTGGCCATGGGTGAGAAAATTAAAATATAATGGTGAAGCATACCTAAGAAATGTCTATTCTCTGGCGGAAGAAGGTAGACTTTCAGCTTGCTTTCCAAGTTTCTTATTGCAGTCACAATAGTTAGCAGGTGGCTAAGGATATGAGTCTTTTTGTGACTAGCAGATACCACCATAGAAATGAAAGATTGTGATCTTAATTCGACTCCTCGCAGAGACAGAAGAAATAGATTCGATCTGCACATTCCAATGAGATTAGAAACCAAAAAAAGGGTCACTCTGGAAAAATACTCGATATCAGGCACAATTCCAATCATAATTTTTAAATTTGCCCTAACTACTTCTAGATTAAATTCATGAAAATACATTTTTAATGTATGTATGCATGCAATTCGGTCATTTTCATTCACTATAGGCATATTTTCGGACGGTTCGATTAAAGGTGTAACAGGGATTTTAATGGTACAAAATTCCTTGGGTATTTCAATCTTTTTTGAATGGTCATTTTTTATTTTCCGGGGCTTAGGAGGGCTTCTCCTTGTTCGAGTCATTTCTACTTTCAAAAATACCTATACATTCCTTGCATTCAAAATAATCAATAATATTATCAGGTGATAGTGTCATGAATTTTTTGGTGACAACGTGGATTAACTTAACTATGTTAGTCCTCGTGCTTTATTTGTCCTACAATTGTATTGTTAATGTGTCTGTATATTCAAAACCGGCTTTGAGAAAAATATATTCAGCTAACAAGTTGATATACGCCATTTCTAGTTTTATTCAGTATTAATTCTTTTTTCCAATCTTCACAAGTATGCAAGTGATTACCATATTAAAACAAACAATAGGTTGTGAATTACTTTACGAAAGACTTGAGACGTTGTATGTTGCATTAATTAATTTAAATATTTGTTTGTCTATATCAAATGGCAGGCGTTTTGATAATTATCATTAGCCCTTTACCTGACTTCGGGCTTCACAAAGAGGAGGAAGAACATCAAAGTGACAAAAAGCTTTAGTTTGAAGTGAGAAGTCAACTGCCGATTAATAGACTTTTTGGCGTATGAGTATACGTTGCCCAGGGTGTACCACGTGGTAGACTTTTTTGTCGCATGAGTATACGTTGCCCAGGGTGTTAGACTTTTTTGCCGTATGAGTATACGTTCCCCAGGGTGCAGTTAAAAGACTTTTTGCCGTATGAGTATACGTTGCCCAGGGTGCACGGACTTTTTAGCCGTATAAGTATACGTTTCCCAGGGTGCACCTCGTGGAGGTAAGTCTATCGCACACCCCATGTTGCAAATATTTGTCAATCTTTCCGACTAACCAATTCCATTCATGATTCAACTATTTATTTCAGGGGTAAATACACTATCAATAGAAACACTTTTTTCTGCGCTTCCACATAGCCTTTGATTTGTCAGACATTGTTTCTTCTCACTTTGTTCACTGTATGCAAACTATCAATATGAGTTTAAATTGAGATAAAATATGCTATTTTTTTATATTGGTATGACGAAGTTTTCTATGATGTTTGCAACAGCAATTAATGATGTTTTCAAGCTCCCGTTAAGGGAAAATTAGGGGATTCTTAAATTTGGAAATTTACAATCGGCGATATCACTGGTAACCATTGTTTGTGTTTCTCCTCCATTCATATAATTTTCTCGAATTCATGCTTTGCGCCTAGCTACTGTACTATCAACGTCGGAATTTTAAGGTTTGGTAGATGTTCAATCGTGGTAAAAGCGTAACGAATAAACTGAACTTTTTTCTCCTCTATGACAGTGCACATCTTAATAAACTGGCTTCTCTAATTTCTTAAATGTCTTATCGAAAACCAGCGAATTTAACTTTGCTTAGATTATCAAGCTAGTTGACAACAAATTTTAGTTTTTATAGTCACTTTGACTAAACGAGGGGACGAAGAATATCCAAGTTATCTATTCTAACCTGGAAGTTTGATTTGAAAAAGACCTGTGGCGGGAACACTAACTTAATTTCATTCAAACAGACTATTATTAATAATTTTTTATTATTAGTTCGCGTATGCATATAGATGTAGCCCGTGTTTCTCATGACATTTTTTCAAGTGTTCTTTTGCTACTGTAGGTTTACCAACCTCTCTTGGCCTTCCACTCTCACAGGCAGAGTTTCATACGTCTCAGCGAATACGATCATGATTCTAATGAGGACGAAGAGGATTCCTTCTTTCAGTGGGACCACCATCGATCCACAGTACTATCCACTTCAAAAGCAAGCATCCATAGAACTGACAGCTTAGCCAAGATTGGATCTGGCGAGATACAGCGTTTACGAGACGAATTTGCCGTAAATCTGAACAAGTTCCAGGGATTTTTAAGTGAAACCGAATCCGCCCTACTTGGAGTTTTCCAATTACCTCAACCCGATTTCCCTCTTCCATCACTTGAAGAATGTGTTGGAGGGCTCGATGATGAAACGTTTGAACAGTTCAAGCTACTAATTGATAGTTGGAGTGAGTCGAGCTCTTAACAATGAATATTTTTTAACTTACCGATTTAACTTATTCATTTTAATTTTAAATAGACGCGCAGATAGATAACACAATTAGGGAATTGATTAAGCCCCGTTCAGTATTAACTGGCCCTCTAGAAGAGGTTGATTACTGGAGATATCGATACAAAACTCTTACATCGATAAATGAAGCTCTTAAGGACAAAGCAGTTATGAATGCAACTGAACTGTGGAATTCAGTATCCCACGTGGGTGTAGTGGAATTTAATCGAACTAAAGAGATTCGTCGACTTATGGCTGAAGCAAAAGATATTGCAAGGTAATGTCACCTATAATAAACTTTGTATAAACATGGCGCTTAATAACTCTATTAATGCTTATGTTTTAAAGATTCTTGCTTCTGGTTGAGCGACATTTCAAGAATATTCAGTTCGGACACAGTTTCAATGTAGTTGCAGATACAATAGCACCAATGATGCAATCATTGCGACTCATTTGGACGATTTCGCGGTGTTTCAATCAGGATAAACGCATGGGTCCATTACTGCATAAAATCGCCTGGGCTCTGAACTATCGTGTAATTCGAGTTATGCATATTCCCACCCTGTTTAGGTCAGTTTTGTTTTATCGGAATATATGGGTTTGGTTTGATCCTTGACCAATTTAAAACGCTGTATTTTTCAGTCAATCAATAAAGAACATCATCCGAGAAACGAGCTCAGCAATTAGAATGGTCACTGCATTTGAGACTGCATACAACCGAGAGAGACAGGAAGTTGAAATCATCTCTCCAGATAATCGTTGGGAGTTCGATCGCAAACGTCTTTTTGGCAGGCTCCGTCATGTCACAAAAGTTCTCA